ACAGAGCCGCGCGCACCATCACCCTGACTCAGTCACACTTGGTGCGCCAGGTCCTTCAGAGGTTCGGCCTTCAGTTCTCCTCCGCACAGCCCACCCCTCTTCCTCTGGACCACAGACTCTCCGCTCCAGTTCCTGAGGAGTCGGTAGATCCCAGTGGTCCTTACGCTGAGCTAGTGGGTTGCCTCATGTACCTGATGACTTGCACTCGCCCAGATCTCGCATACCCTCTCAGCATCCTGGCTCGTTTCGTGGCCACAGGCAGGCACCGACCTCAGCACTGGTCTGCCGCTAAGAGGGTTTTGTGTTATCTTGCAAGTACATCGGGCATGGGGTTAGTGCTAGGCGGACGCAGGCCAGTGGTCCTTACTGGACACACAGACGCTTCTTGGGCAGACGACGCCGAGACGCTCAGGTCTTCCCAGGGCTACTGCTTTAGCCTTGGTTCAGGTGCTGTCTCGTGGAGAGCTACCCGCTCTTCGTCTGTTGCCCAGTCCAGCTGTGAGGCCGAGATCTACGCCGGTGCCATGGCGGCACAGGAGCTCCGCTGGCTGACCTTCTTGCTCACTGACTTAGGTGAGCGGCCTAGCTCTGCCCCGGTCCTGTACGCTGACAACAGGGCCATGATCCTCCTGTGTCAGGAGCCTCGACTCGAGGGCAGAGCAAAGCACATCCAGCTGCGGTACTTCCTCCTGCGTGAGCTACAGCAGCGTCGCCAGGCTCGCGTAGTACACTTAGCCTCCGGTGCCAACACAGCTGATATCTTTACGAAGGCGCTTGCGCCTAAAGATCATCAGCGGCACTGTGTGCAGCTTGGTCTGGTTCCTGTAGTCTCTCACTTACTCGGGCCTTGACTCTGTACTGTCCTATATATCTGTGTGTACACTCAGACTGGACTTGTGTCCTCTTACAGTGGTTGGACTAGTAGTGCCGCCCTGTACTAGTTCTTGCCTTGCCTGTACTCCTTCTGACTGGTCTTTTAGACCCTTGTCTCAGAGGCTGGACTAGTAGTGCCACCCTGAGCTGCTTGTCTAGAACATTCCCCTATGCAGTCCAGGGGGTGTGTCAAACATGTTTAGTTATCATGCTTGTATAGACTGTATAGGGTCATCTTCTAGAGAGTACAACAGTTAGGTATATGTTTGTGCACTCTCTCTCTCTATTCATCAATTTCACTGTTTGTTAGTAACGCGTACGAACCCTGAATGCGACATCCATGCGGACCCTGAATTTCCTCGAAATGGCCCCCTTACGCGTGACGGGGCCCAGTCCATTGAACACGCCCAGCATGCGTCACGTGGGGAATCTGCACTCGGCAAGATTCCCGCCGTATACACGCTGTATGCTGCCATTACAGCAACATTTGCAACCGTCAACTGGCATTCGTGACTCAGCACGCAGCAGACGAGGACAGAATATGATGAGCGCGGCAATGTCAGCCTCTGTATGACATCACCCCGCCAATCATCTCTGTGCAGACGATGCCAGCGCAGGTGCGTTTCGCCGTTGACGGTATCGCCATGGCGATACGGGAACCTGGATGGGTTATGCACCATCCATGAAAATCGAGAGATGGGGCTTCTTGGTCCTCTTCCCGTCTTCTTCACCAGCTCCTCCTCCACCCCAGTTTTTTTCATTTCTTCACGTCACAGCTGCGAGATGCTCCAGTCTTCAATCTCCTCTAGTTTCGTCGCGCCGATTTCTCATTTTCAGCATATCCGCCGCTTCTAGCCATGGCGGATGTAGGAGACTCTGGTGAGTCTCCCACTGCCGACGATAGTTCTGAACTAGGTAGGGACCCCCCCGTGGAGGTCCGTAGATCCGCGCTAGACATCTTGCGGTCTCCCACCGCAGTCCTTACACCATCACAACCCGTATCTACTCCCGCCGCTCCATATGTACCTCCGCCCGCTGTCGCTTCATCTAGCCGGGGCCCTTTGGTTCCAGACTGCGAGACAGCCACGACCGTGCGTTACACGGTCGAGTGTGCGTCGACGATTTCATCTGGGAAGAAAGCACGCGTAGGGAAGTACACCCAGAGCACGATAGTCCTCGGCGGGAAGCTACATAGACCGTCGCTGCCTCGCTCGTCGCCTGAACCTCAGGCCCCTGGTATTCCAGAACCCGAGCCGCCGAAGCTCTCAAAGAAGGAACTCATCGAGCAGAAGTATCTCATGGCTGAGCACAAGTATAAGACCAGCTGGCTTCCTTTTTTCCCTTGGCTTCTGCTAACGAAAACGAAAGATGGTTACCCTGCTTTGAAGTGCAGTGTGTGCAAGGCTTTCGGCAAAGAGACAACACCGTACTCCAACAGCCGCGACGGGGCACGTGACCTGCAGACGCAAGCGATGCGGTTCCACGAACACACGACAGCCCACGAAGTAGCCGTCAAGCGTCAGATGGAGATCGCCGAAGAGATCGCCAGCACCCAGAGGCGCATGGAGAATTACGCGCGGATTGACATCGAAGGGAAGCGCGTCATGAGGCTCCTACGCTGCGTCGACTTCCTGTGCAAGTGTGATGCACCCATCAGCATGTACCCGAGGCTACTCCGCTTCATGGCCGAGCAGGAGACACCGGACATTCCGCTGCAGTCTTACGGAGTCTACCTGACAAGGTAATGCACTTATTCGAAGTACACCATGTCTTTTTTTTTTCAAAAAGGTCTAACCAACACCTTGTTGTCACTTCTGCTACTACAGGTATGGCTTCTGTCAGCTCGTCAGCAGCCTGGCAACCTACCTGCAGCGCCGACAAATGCAATACATTCTCGCCTCACCCTACCTCGGCATCAGCTGCGACGAGAGCACTGACCGTACTCGCGGTAAACATCTGATTGTTTATCTGACCTTCTTGCGGGCGCATCGTGTTGTGACTGAGTTTTTTGCACTCTTGACCGTCGAAAAGTGCGACGCCGCGTCACTCCTCGCCGTTCTTCTGGCTCACTTGCGAGCAACTGGCATCGATCTCTCCCGAATCACCGGCATGAGCACCGACGGCGCCTCTGTCATGGTCGGCCGAGACAACGGTCTCGTCGCCCGACTTCGCGAGCACATTCCCCATCTCGTCTCTTCGCACTGCATCGCCCACAGGTTTAACCGCTTGTCATTTCAGTCGCTTAGGTTTCCTACAAGTGCTTGACTAAAATTCCCTTGTGTGCACCATGCAGGGAAGCCTTGGCGGTGAAGGACGCGGCCACTGCTTCTCCAGACTTCGACATGGTCGACCTTGTGATTCGGACTCTGGCCGATCTTCTGGGACGTTCATGTGTCTGGAGTCAACGCTTCAAGTACCTGCAGCGGGCAATACATAACACCAACCTTGAAGTGCAAGGAATTCACACCGTGCGCTGGCTTTCAAGGGGTGAGGCTGTGAGGCGCCTTTGTAAGGTCCTCGGCGCCGCTATCATTCTCTTCTATGAGTACGGGCATGAGCTGTATGAGGTCGTTATCTGTTACAAGTTCCAGTTTTGTCTTTTTTTCCTGGCGGACGTCCTCGGAGTGATGAATGAGCTCAACCTCAAATTCCAGAAGAGGGAGGTGAGCTTCTATCACCCTGCATGTAATTTTTGTCCCATGCATGCACGTTTGGAATCACCCTCTGACTCCACTCCGTTGTCTGTCACATCCACCAGGTCGATGTCACCGAAGTGACGAAGGACATCGACGAGGCGACAGGGGACCTCCGCCACCGCTACTTGGAGTGCGGAGAGGTGTTCGGCGGGGGTGTCGAAGGCACGTGGCTTTCGGCTTTCTTGGCGGTCTACGGGCGCGGAAGGGGCAAACGCGTAAAGGTGCGGGGCATCGACAAGGACGGCAACCCAGTCACGCACACCTACACCATGCACGAGAAGCAGATCGACGGGCATGCCTTCCGCAGCAAGTACCCCGATTGCGAGCGGCTCTGCGCGCAATTCGCGAAGGACACGATAAGCTTCCTGAAGACGAGGATGCTGGACCTGAACAATCTCGGCCCGACGAAGCTCTTCCGCGTGTCGAAGTGGCCCCGGATGAAGCAGCAGAGAGAGAAGAAGCTGAAGGAGTACCTACATGGCTGCAGTGCCTTGTTCGACAACAGGCTGACAGGCTTTTCCTTGCAAGCTGGAGCTGGTCACGTGGGCGCCACTGATGCTGAGCCACCATGCCGACGAAGGATTCCATCAAGGCCTGACGAACTACCTCGGCTCGACGGAGTCGACCTTGTGAGAGAGTGCTGCTCGAAGGACGATTATTGATTTTCCTTTTGGGCGGTTTCATTGTTTCCTTTATCAGTTGTTGTTTATCGATTGTTGACAAGCATTGCTAATGCACTGGTCTTGTTCCATGTACTCTATTCCCCCAACCCTTCTGGCAGGCGCTGGCCCAACCTCATGCGCTTGTGGCAGGCATGCGCTGTCCTGCCGCTTAGCACAGTGGAGTGTGAACGAGGCTTCTCGCGGCAGAACGTCATCAAGTCATGGGTGCGGGGCGCGTTGTGCAATGCGCGCCTCAGCGAGCTGATGGTCATTTCCCTGCTGCAGTACGAGACTGACTGGGACGAGGCCCTTGGGTGCTGGCGCGAGAAGCTGAGGCGCCCTGCTAAGTCTGTTCTGTTTGCCGCAGCGGAGAGGAAGCGTAAGGCGAAGGCGATTGAGGGGGCAGAAGTGAGGGTGGAGGAGGAGGCAGTCCCCGACTACATGGGGGATTGGGCAGAGGATGAGGGAGAGGAGGAGGGGGGAGTGGGGGCAGTGGGGGGAGAGGCTCCTGAAGTGGAAGACAACCCCTTTCTGTCCGATGACGACGAAGAAGACGAAGTGAACATGGATGGCCCAGAATTTTAGTCAAGTGTAGCTAGTGGCATGGAATATTGTGAAGTCTAGACTAGATAGAGGACTTGTACACTGGCGTGGCGTAGTGGTGCTTTTACTTAACTAGTAGCTGTACATTCCTAGTTGATTTTTTCCCAAGTACAATGCAACCCTGATTGTTGCAAGCCAACCCTGGAGGTTTCAAGGTTGTAAGCAGGGTCTCAGATATCAGACGAAATCCGTCTGATGGTCTGAAAATCAGACCTGTTTTTTTGCTTTCATCTGATTTTTTGACGGGGTGAATTATTTCATCTGATTGTCCATCTCAGTCATAAGATTTCGTCTGAAGGTTCAGACTTGGTGTACTTTTTCGTCTGAAATGTCAGATAGCGCGTATAATTTCGTCTGACAGCAATCACCCCTTATCCCACTGTGCCAATGGGTCACCTTCCCAGTGGCCCACACTCTGCCATCTTGGTCCTGGTCGGTGGGCAGGTGCATTCATTTCCACGCGCACCGCGACGGCCAGCGCATAGTCACGAAATGAAACCGGCAGCAGCCTGACTCAGATTGCTGCCCATGGCTCGTCCGATAGTGCGTCACTTGCACGGCTGCCAGCATCCTTGCATCTTGAAGCTGGCAGCAATGTGCCAGCGCACAGTGGTGCGGCCAGGAAAGCCACCCACCGCGAGCCAGCAATGCAGAGCTGTTTCGTAGCCATGCAGCAACCTCGCTCGCCATGCTGCAGCTCAGCGAGGCGCCTGGTCGTAAAGGCACCAAGGGAAAAGCCTCGTAGGCACTTGTCCTGCTCCACCTCGTTCTCCCAGCCCCCTCAGCATGGCTCCAATCTTGCTCGGCGCACACCCTGCCTAGACGCCCTCTAGCTCTGTGGCTAGACAGCGATGGCGTCAGAGAGAGCGCAGTCGATCCCCTCCCCAGTTAGGCAGTCAATAGTAGGCTTGGAGCCCCCTGGCTCAACCCCTCCGCTTGTTAGTGGTCTAGATCTCCTCACTGGCGCGCTGAACCGAGCCGTCAGCGGCGATGCTCCGGTTGCAGCCGTGGGTGAAGCACCTCCGTCGCCTCTCCCACCCTTAGACGACGAGCCGTGGGTTTTCTTTGACAAAGAAAACTCTACGTGTGATGCTCCAACGTCGCCTAACCCGTCGTCAACACCTGGCTGCTCAACCGTGCGAGCCGTCTCCCCTTCACGCGTGACGCGCGGTCCTGTCCTACCAGTTCGCGCTCCTGGCAAGAAGTATCGACAGCGCAAGCTTACGTTTGGCCGACCAGCGGTGGCTCAGTCTACACCCTCTGTCCAGGTGCAATCCCGGTCTTCCGAAGCATCTCCCGCCGACTCCGACGACGACGATGGTCCCTTTCCCCTCACAGTCGCCGAGCTCCAGTTGAAAGCCAAGGAGCAGTGGCAGCGGTATTTCCCATGGCTGCTGATTTCCGAGACTTCTGAGGGGCGTCCATGCATGAAGTGTAGCATCTGTATGGGGTATAACAACGACCCCAACTACCAGTATGGGCGCAACGGCGAGGGCGGCATCGACATACAGAAGCAGACGATGCGCAAGCACCACCACAGTCAAAAGCACGAGGCGGCGATGGCACGGAAGGAGCAGAAGGATGGCAAGAATGCGAAACAGAAGTCCATCGTCGACTTCGAGAACGGGAACGATGAGGCAAAGCGACTGAAGCGACTCATGGCGATTGTGATGTTCCTCTGCAAATCTGACGCCCCCGTTGTGTTGTTTGTGTCACTTGTCCAGTTCATGGCAGAGCAGGGAACACCAGACCTACCCGTGAAGGACAACGGTACCTACCAGAGCGAGTAAGTGTTTTACGTGATACCAACCCGATGTACTGTTGATTTGTTACGTGGTTTCTAGAAGGTTGACACTGTACTATTATGCATGCGCAGGTACGGTTTCAATCAGGTGGTCGACAACATCGTCACTTACCTGCGAGCCAAGCAAATGACCCACATCAGGGCTTCACCATTCTTGGGCATCCAACTCGATGAGTCAACCGACCGCCGGCGGGGTAAACATATGATTGTTTACCTTACCTTCCTCCGCGACACGACGGTGGTGACAGAGTTCTTCGGGCATCTCACCGTCGAGAAGTGTGACGCCGCATCTCTGCAGGCCGTTCTACTCACCCACCTCGAGTCTCAGGGCATCGAGCTCAACAAGATTTGCGGCATCAGCACCGATGGAGCCAGTGTGATGACGGGTGCGCAGGCAGGCCTCGTGGCTAGGCTACGCACCCGTATTCCACACCTGGTTTCCTGCCACTGCATCGCGCATAGGTGATTCTAACATTCTATAGCAATGCATATTTTAAAAGATTATTTCGAAACTAATAAAGTTTCTCTCTCAATCTGCAGGGAGGCTCTTGCTGCCAAGGACACTGCAGATGATTTCCCGGACTTAGGCATTGTCGACAAGGTCGTGCGGTCACTGGCCGAGGTGCTCGGCCGGTCCATCGTCGTCCACAACCGTTTCAAGGAGCTGCAGGAAGTCGTCACTGAAACTAACCTCGAAATGCAAGGCATTCACCAGATACGTTGGCTTAGTCGCGGTGAGGCTATCCAACGGCTTGTTGATGTGTTTCCCGCGGCCATCCTCCTGCTGTACGAGTATGATAGGAAGATGTATCACGTAGTTGTCTCGTTGAAATTTCATTTCTTGCTGTACTTTCTGGCGGATATGCTGCGGGAGCTGAACACGCTCAACCTCAAGTTCCAGCGTCGCCAGGTAAGCCACATGGTGTCATGTCATCGGATTTAGGAGAGTGATGCTTAACGAGCAAAACCATCTCCCATTTCTGTCTTTGTATGGCAGGTCGACGTCACCCAGGTTCTTCGGATGGTCGACAACACTGTCGTTACACTGCGCGCACGCTACGTAAATTACAACACACAGTTCGGCCCACCTGACGGGGACTTCGCCGACTTTCTGCATCTGTACGCGGGGGGCGAGGACGTGACGATCGAGGGGATTGACGCACACGGGGCGCCGACTGTGCACACGTACACTCTACACACAAAGCCGCTGGATGGGCAGCGGAGCAACGGAGATCTGAAGTCGCTACAGCAGCTCGCCACTGACGTCGTCAACGGTGTCATCAACCACCTGCAGGGACGCCTCAAGGATCTATCGAAGCTCAACGGCACAAGACTTTTCAAGCAGACGATGTACCCGAAGTCCACTGCGAGGCGCGAGCGGAAGTTTCTCGAATGGCTCCAGTCTCTGCGCGGCCTCTACAAGCGTGATGCGTCAGCGCCCGACACTCTGCCGGGTGAGTTCCAAGGGGTTGTAAGTGTCTCCATGGCTCGGGTATTTTCTGGTTGAGATATTTAACGAAGGCTTCTGTGCCTCTATTTCACCCCCCCTTCAGGTGTCCACTGGGGCAAGGCGAAGGCCGAGCTCATCAGTTTCACCACCATTATGTCGACACACAACGACGAGCTGGGCTTCCACGATGCGCTGAAGAACGTGCTTTCCACGCCGGACTGGATGACTGCCTACCCCAATTTGGTTCTCATCTGGATTGCCTGCGCCGTGCTGCCGCTCAGCACAGTGGAGTGTGAGCGCGGGTTCAGCCGCCAGAACGTCATCAAAAGCTGGCAGCGCGGCAATCTCGGTGATGCGAAGCTAGGCCACTTGATGACGGTGTCGCTGCTCGACTACCCGATGGACTGGGGGAGTATGGTGGCTAGCTGGCGTGGAACGAAGAAGCGGCGACCTGCCAAGGAAGTTGTCATGGATCAGACCGCACGGCAGGTGAAGCGGCCCAAGACGTCGGCGGCATTGAAGGCGGCAAAGGCAGCAGCCAAGGCAGCAGCAGAAGCAGCCAGGCAGGCAGAAGCGCTAGCAGCAGCAGAAGCAGCCAGAGTGTTTGAAGAGGATGGTGCGGCTGGCCCAATCTGGAGGAGGAAAAGCAAGGGCAAGAAGGTGCAAGTCTCAGAGAGCGACAGTGATGATGATGACATCGAGGAGGTCGGAAGTGATAGTTCAGACTCCGAGTAGGCAGATGATGGTATGGCACAGCATGGTTTAGTACAAGGCTAATTCCTAATGTAGGTTGTGGTAGTGGAGCATCAGTAGCACTAGAGTTTTTTCCAGCTATTCTTAGCATATACGGTAGATGCAATTTCAATGGATGTTGACGACGTGTAACAGTTGTTTGTGTAGCACGATAATGTAGCACATTCGGCATTGTTATATACTGAAACTCCCGCAACGTTTCGTCTGAATTGTCAGATCGTGCCAAATGTTTCGTCTGAAATGCAAGACCGGCAAAAAAAATTCGTATGATGGTCAGACGAAAGTTTGAAACCCTGTCTGAACGTCAGACGGCCTAAAATCCTAGCTGAAACCCTGGTTGTAAGTTCCAGAACACTGAGAAATCAGGGAAGTCAAAATACCAACACTAGGCCCTCAGGGTAAAAAAATTTCCCCATTCGACAGCTCAGGGTGGTTCTTTTTGAAACGTCAGCCCTGACCGGGTACTTGTCTTGCCATCCCTACATATGCTGAGTACGGCAAGTGATTTCCAAAACTCTGCTTCGTGCTCCCCTCTGCGCTACTACTGGGGCTGCAACCTATGTACTCTGCCGTAGCAGTAGCAGTCACCACACCAGCAGCAGCCTTTGACAGGCCAGTTCACCCCACATCTCACCCCACCTAACCCCCTTACCCAAAGTGACCCTAATACTGTAATTTACATGCTCGCGAGATCCAATCTTGCTCGAATTGCCACATGCATTGCCACTCGTTTGCCAATCCCCAGACAACAGCAGGTTGGTGGTAGGCTCCAGACCAATCCATTACCCATCTGCCACTGCTACTGCTACTGCAGCAGGCACACACCCACCTCCTGCACTAGAGCTTGCTTCTCCTTTCTCCGCTGCCTTTTGATGCACCTCAAAAAGGGGGCTCCCCATCTGCTACTGCTACTGTAGGCGCACAGCCACCTCCTGCAACAGCACTGGCTTCAGCGCTGCTGTGATGACCCATCCCATCCCCCCTCAGGCAGTAAGAGCCGACAGGGAATTTGACCGAAGCCCTCGGAACTCTACCACACGTATCTATCCGGTGGCACACTACTGCACGCACTACTGTAGCCGCACAGCCACCTCCTGCAATAGTGCTCACTTCTGCGCCGCTGTGATGACGCCTCTGGCAGTGAGAGCCGCAACGTGGACTGATCAAAGCCCCTCCAAGTGCTACCAACCACGTGCAGTGATACTCAAGGGTCTCACGGCTGGCACTACTGCAGGCGCAAGGCCACCTGCTGCAATAATGCTCTCTCCTGCGCCGCTGTGATGACTGATAATGGCCCTGGCTGTGAGATCCGAACACTAGAACATTTGCACGAAGAGTGGAAGCCTCGGGACACTACTGCAGGCGCACCGCCACCTCCTGCAACAGCGCTCGCTTCTGCGCTGCTGTGATAACGCCCCTGGCCGTGAGAGCGTCCACTGCCTCACTCAGCACCGCCGCCGCATGCCCCACAGGCTCGCCCTCCATCCGCCGTAGCATGAACGCCTGGGGGGGAGGGAGGGAGGGAGGGAGGGAGGGAGGGAGGGAGGGAGGGAGGGAGGGAGGGAGGAGGGAGGGAGGGAGGGAGGGAGGGAGGGAGGAGGGAGGGAGGGAGGGAGGGAGGGAGGGAGGGAGGGAGGGAGGGAGGGAGGGAGGGAGGGAGGGGAGGGAGGGAGGGAGGGAGGGAGGGAGGGAGGGAGGGAGGGAGGGAGGGAGGGAGGGAAAGAGGGACGGAAGGAAGGGAAGAGAGAAGGAAGGCACAGCAGTCGGTATGATACCCATGGTGCACAGATATGCGGGTTTGATCTCAAAGTGGGTGCCTGGCAGCTTGAGAGAGTTGGCAGCTTCAGGGAGGTGGCAAAAGGCAGAGGAGGGTTGACGGGAGCAAGGAGAGGAAAACCAGGAAAAGGAGAGAACTAGGCTTGCTTGGCAAACACGGCTTGTGAGAGTGGCGAAGCATTGCGCGTGGGCCAAAGAGGTTTAAAAAGAAAACCAAGCTTTCCAAGTAAGGGAGAGGATGGGAGAGGATGGGAGAGGATGGGAGAGGATGGGAGAGGATGGGAAGGAGGGATGGAGGGATGGAGGGAGGGAGGGAGGGAGGGATGGAGGGAGGGAGGCACCTGGGAGTGGTGCGCGATGTTGATGGTGGCGGGGGCCTGTAGCCACGGCTCGCCGTCGATCTGCACGGGGAAGGTCACGGACGTGTGGATGCGCACCGACCGACCCTGCCCCAGGCGAATGGCGCGTGACAGGCCCACCTGGCGTTGAAAGAAAAGAAAGGAACGAGCCAGGCGGAGGGGTTGGAAACAAGGGGCACAGAGGGAGATAACAAGGCACAGAAAGTCAAGCTGCACATCTCTGATCTGTGCCTCAGACCACGTGGACTCTGTGCACTGAGCTAAGTGCTCTGTGGTCTGTGCTAAGTGCTCTAAGTAGTCTCATTATTTGAGGCGCCTCAAGTCGTCTCATTATTTGAGGCGCCTCAAAAGTCGTCTCATTATTTGAGGCACCTCAAAAGCCTGCAGCTTGCCCCGGTGCCACGCGCTGCAGATGCCCAGTGCCCGCCACCTCCACATGTCGGTCATGCATGAGCTGCTTTTGAGTCGACTCACAAGCACACCTGTGGTTCACTCCCACGCCGCCTTTTTTTCCACGCCGCCCTTTTTGTTCCACCCCGCCCTGTGCTGGTCTCCAGCCTCCGGCTCCCCCCCACCCCACCACCAACCTATGTTGGAATATACGCACAGAAGGCTTTGCGTATTGCGTATATACGCTTGCGAATATACGCAATACGCTGATACGCTTGGAATACGCGATACGCGATACCCGGGCTGCCCGGCGAAAAAAAAAACTTATATTTTTTTTTCCCGCGACTTCGCGACGTCGCGGTTTTTTCGCCCATTCTTTTTTGCCCATAGCCCAGCCTGCTCTGTACGTGATTGAAAGCCATCCCGTGTTTGCCGTTCCCCATTTCCGTCCAAATCTCAGCTCTGAAGCGAAACGGTGGTGTGCTTAGCTAGGTGGCGGCGATTGCGCGAGTTACGGTGCTTGTTAGTCTTCTACCAAAGTGATGGGGGAGATGATGGGGGGGAGAGTCGAGCATTTGTGAGGAAAGGTAGGAGTTTGTAGATGGGTGGGAGTTCAGTGCGGTGAAAGGGAGGGAGTTGGTTGGCTGGAAGCCAATTTGACTTTGTAGACGGGGGGGTTGAGTGCGGTGAAAGGGAGGGAATTGGCAGGTCAAAATTCGACCCCTCAGAAAATGCCTCATTTGAGAGTCACGTTTTCAGAAACCCTAGCCTAGCTGCTACCATCATGGCTTCCTTGCTGCCCCCTGGTTTTGTTACCCTGCCCGGGCAAACCTTTTTTCCTGCCCGGGCATGCGTATTCCTGCCGTATTGGACCCCAAATCCAAGCGTATAGCGTATATACGCAAGCGTATATACGCTAGCGTATAAAACGCAGTACGCGTATTTTCCAACATAGCCACCAACCCGTTGCAGGTGCTTGTGGGGGGTTCTCAAAACAACACCCACCCATCCAGAAAGATCACCCCCCACCTGTGGTTTGTCACGACATACACCTTTTGCTTCCATCCAACCTGCGGCTTGCCCCCACCTGCAGCTTTCCCAGGTGCAGCTTGCCCACCTGCAGCTTGCCCACCTGCAGCTTGCCCAGGTGCCACGCGCCGCAGATGCCCACGACCTCGACCTGGCGGTCGTGCATGAGCTGCGGCGCCAAGCCATCGTCCAAATCCTCCTCGTTCTGCCACAGGTCCACGCCGCCCATGTAGCTGCCGATGTTCAGCACCAGCACGCCCTCCAGCTCCTGATGCATGGGAGCACAGAGAGGCACGTACGGGCAGTGGGGGGAGGGGGGTTGGGAAAGAGGGGGGGGGGGGGTGTAAGAATGTGCTTGAGATCTCACACAGGTCCACAGGTCCACGCCGCCCATGTAGCTGCCAATGTTGAGCACCAACACGCCCTCCAGCTCCATGCCGCACTCTCCCCCACCCCACCCCACTACACCCCACCGCACCTCTGGAATGGCCACCTCGCGCCCGTCTATCTGCCATGGCAGGTTGCTGCAGCTCCTGCTTGCACCATGTCATACCACACAACAGCATTCCCGCCCCCCACCCCACCCCACCCCATCCCACCCCACTGCACCCCACCCCACACCAACCCACTGCACCGCACCTCTGGAATGGCCACCTCGCGGCCATCTATCTCCACGTGCACGTGCCATGGCAGGTTACTGCAGCTGCGGTCCACAAAGTCCCGCGCGCCCTCCGTGGCATACAGCACCTTGTTCAGGAACTGGGGTTACCAGGGGCATATGATTATATGTGAGAAGACGGGGGAGAGGGGATAGTGTGGGGGGAGGGGAGACGGCTGGGTTGACTCAGCCGTTGTCACATGTGCCCTGCGTGGCATACAGCACCTTGTTCAGGCGGATAGGGCGATGTGGAGGGGAAGGAGGGGGGGAGGGGGGAAGAGAGAGTAGGGACGAGAGGGGTGGGTGGGATGACGAGGGGAGGAGGGGAAAGGAAGGTGAGTGGTGAGTTGATGAACAAGGTCTCGAGAGAGAGAGCCCTCCATTGTACAGAGCAACACACCTTGTTAAAGAGCCGTCAAAAGGGCATGGCATGGCAGGGAAAGGGGAAGTGGAGGGTAGGGTGGGGAGCAGAGAGGATTATAGTACTATAATTCGTACTAAAAAGAAAACGGTATTTTCCCAGGGTTCAGTAGAGAGCAGGGAGCTGCGCACGCACCTGGTTGACTTTTGAGTCGACTCAAAAGTCATCTCGTTACAATGTCACACGGATCACTTCATTGAAAAGCAGGGAATGGAACTGCGCACGCACCTGGTTGTAGAACATCTCAGGGTTCTCCTCCGTAAGCAGGTGGATCTCCAGAGCAAACGGCTTTTTCAGGGTTCATTAGAGAGCAGGGAAGGGAATGACGCACGCACCTGGTTGTAGAACATCTCTGGGTTCTCCTCCCTAAGCAGATGGATCTCCAGAGCCACCTTGGCGTCACAGCCCACACCTGCCACGAAGAAAGCATGCACGCACATCAAACATGAATACGCACATACACATGTTCTCATATGTGGCGCATGTGCACATACACATGTTCTCATATGTGGCGCATGTGCACATACACATGTTCTCATATGTGGCGCATGTTCACATACACATGTTCTCATATGTGGCGCATGTTCACATACACATGTTCTCATATGTGGCGCATGTTCACGTACACATGTTCTCATATGTGGCGCATGTGCACATACACATGTTCTCATATGTGGCGCATGTTCACATACACATGTTCTCATATGTGGCGCATGTGCACATACACATGTTCTCATATGTGGCGCATGTGCACATACACATGTTCTCATATGTGGCGCATGTTCACATACACATGTTCTCATATGTGGCGCATGTTCACATATACATGTTCTCATATGTGGCGCATGGTCACACACACATGTTCTCATACGTGCATGCACTGCAGTCTTAGTTTTCAGCAGAGTAGATGCGGCGCCATGACTAAAACCTTCTGGAAGAAAGAAAGAAAGAAAGAAAGAAAGAAAGAAGGGAAGGAAGGAAGGAAGGAAGGAAGGAAGGAAGGAAGGGAGGAAGGAAGGAAGGAAGGAAGGAAGGAAGGAAGGGAGGAAGGAAGGAAGGAAGGAAGGAAGGAAGGAAGAAAGAAAGAAAGAAAGAAGAAAGAAAGAAAGAAAGAAAGGAAGGAAGGAAGAAAGAAAGAAAGAAAGGGAAAGACACCAGCAGCATCCTGGTCGCAATCATTCAATAGATAAACTAAACCAGCAGGCAAGAATACCGGAAGCCTTACCCAGGTAGTTGTTCATAAACTTGGGCTGTGGAACCTCCTCCTTTCCCTTCTCCCTCTCCTTTCCCTTGCCTCCTGCCTGCCCCCCTCCAGACGCAGCAGCAGAAGCAGAGACCGCAGCAGCAGAAGCAGACAGGTACGCTTGGGAGGAGGCGGAAGTGGCAGGGGCGGAGGAGGGGTGGAAGGTGATGGCCCACCGGTCCAGAATGGAAATGGGCGCGTTCTCTATGTTCAGCAGCACTGATAGCAGCCCGCCCTGAGGGGGAGGGTGGAGAGCGGCGAGGAAGAGAGGACTTTTTAGCCTAACTCAAGCGTCACAGCAGCCCAGAATGGCGATTGGCGCATTCTTTATGTTGAGCAGCACTGATAGAAGCCTGCCCTAACGGGGGGGGGTGGAAAGGGCGTTAGGGAGAGCGGGGATAGGGAGGGGGATGGTAAGATGCAGCATTTGCAAGCAGAAACATGGCGCATTCTTAACATGGCACGTTCTTAAGGCATTTGCGAGGTGAAACATGGCACGTTCTCTCTACGTTTGAGGCGCCTAAAGAACTGGCGCGTTCTCTACATTGAGCAACAGCAGCGCCAGCAGCGACATGTGAGACTAAACCCAACCCACCTCGCCTGTCCCTCTAAAGCTCCTCACCTGCCACTCCATCCTCTATATAGCCGGCTCCCCATCCCACAACCGTGTCCATAAGCAGATTCAGAAAACAACAAAACTCCCCACCCCTGTTTGGCACCCAAGCATGGCATGGCACTTCCCCGTTCTTTCCCACTTTCAGGCGTGAGCACTTTTCAGGCGTGTTTTGAGTCGAATCAAAATACAACTCGACTCAAAATACAACTGTTCAGGCGTGAGCACTTTTCAGGCGCCTCAAAAGCTTTCCCACTTTCAGGCGTGAGCACCGCCCTTCCTATCTCTCTAACCCCCAACCCCAGCTCTCACCTGTCGCTTCACGGCTCCTAAGCCGCCTCCCCATCCCAGCACCCAGGCATGGAAGCTCCCTGTTCCTTCCCACTTCCAGGCTTCAGCATCCCCCGTCCTCTCTCTTTAGCACGCAACCCTCACTCTCATTCTCACTCTCACCTGTCGCTCCACGGCTCCGAATCCGCCTCCCCATCCCAGCACCCGGGCGAGGTCGTTGCCCGTGCCGATGGGCAGCACGGCCACAGGCGGAGGGATGTCATACCCACGCCTCTCTATCGCGCCCAGCACCCACCCCACTGTGCCGTCGCCCCCGCACACTAGCACCCGGAAGTTGGGCACGTGGTCGAAGAGAGAGAGCCCGAACTCGGGGCCTTGGTCTTTCGATAGCTCAACCACCTGAGAATGCAAAAAAATAGGAACCGGGGGGGGGGGGGAGGAGAGGGAGAGAGAGAAGGACATTGGATTCCTGTTACACAGAGTGCTCGGAAGATTGGCACGTGGTCGAAGGGAGAGAGAGCCCGTACTTGGGGCCCAGGTCGTTGGTTTGGATAGCTCCACCACCTGAGAATGCAAGGTGAGGCAACGGGCGCACGGGGGGGGGGGGGATTGGATTGGACGTATGTTGCACACTAACACTCGGAACTTGGGCACGTGGTCAAACAGAGAGAGCCCATACTTGGGCCCCTATTCGCTGGATAGCTGCACCACCGGATGTTGCCAGGAGGGCCTGAACGAATAATAGGGCATGCATGAGCGATAAATGTTTCCAGACACGTCAGGTCAGGTCTACAGGTATGCACTATTCAGACCTGTTCGAGGCCTACCTGGATGGGGTTCAGCAGCATGTTGAATCGTCGTCTGAGCGCGGACCCATGCTGCGCCCCGCTGCGCTTGTTCACAAACACCAGCAGCGGCCGCGCATCCGCAGGCAGGTTCACTATCTCATACTGCTGCTGCTGCCCACCTCCCTGCTGCTGCTGCACCAACTGCTGCTGATTCTGCTGCTGATTCTGCTGCTGCTGCTGCTGCTGCTGCTGCTGCTGTTGTTGTGAGGCCCTTTTGGCTCCCTTCCTATCTTTACACGCATCAGCGGGCGTTGATCCTGTTCCTCCAGCCATCCTCTCCTCCCTCTCACACGACCCGTCACTGCCCTCCCCTTGAGACGACACGCCTGCATCGCCCCCTCCCCCTCCCTTCTCCACACCCCCACCAAGGCCACTCGAACTCCGGCCACCACCAGCAGCACCACCATTAACACCACCAGCAGAGGCAGCAGCACGACCATGACGACTACCAGCACCACCATTGCCATTACTACCCGCACTAGAGCTGCTGGTACTGCTGCCATCCGTGGGGTGCACGCGCCCATTCACCCGCACCCACTCTCCCCCACCCCCCACCGACGACCCACTAGGGGAGGAAGGCAGAACCCCATCGAGCCCGCCTAAAACCCCGTTCGTCAGCAGAATGTTCTCCCCTTCTGGCAATTCTGTCCCTCCTGCTGCCCCTCCCTGGCCCATCACCCCTCCATTCCCATTCCCATTCCCATTCCCGTACCCGTTCCCGCTCCCGTTCACATTACCATTCAGCAAGTCACCAGAACTGGCCACCTTCTTAGCGCGCCTCTTGGCCCGCTTCCTAATCGAACGGTTCACGTTGCTCGCCAGCTCCCCCGCATTCTGCCGCCACGACGAGATCAGATCCCGCATCCCCGAAGCAGCAGCAGCCGGACCATACCCAGTCGTAGACGACAACGCTGCCGCAGCGGCAGCCGCAGCCGACCCAAACCCAGCACCAGCAGCACCAGCAGCACCGCCGGTGTCGCTGCCGGTGCTGCTGCCGAAGACTCTCTCGCGCACGCAGAGCGGCGAGACGATGGAGCGGCGGAGCGCGCCAAAGTCGCAGGGCTCCTCGCCCGCCTTCATTACCGCGGGGCGGCAGAAGACGTGCACCAGGCGCTGGCACCACACACAGCGCCACACGGGCTTGCCTGTGCTGAACACGGACTTCACCTGTGGGAGTGGGGGTGGGGGTTGGGAGAGAATGGGGCCCAGAAAGGAACGGAAGGGCTGAGGGGAGAAAATCGCCTATTAACACACGCAGCGCCACACGGGCTTGGTCGCGCTGAACACCGACTTCACCTGCCGTGTGGAGGACGCGGGTGGGCAGTTAAGGAGAGAATTGGGGAGAGGGGAAGGAGGGGGGGGTAGGGGAGAGGCAGACGTGCACGAGGCGCTGGCACACAGCACCACACGGGTTTGCCCGTGCTGAACACGGACTTCACCTGTGGGAGTGGGGGGAAGAATGGGGGGCGCAGAAGGGAAGGGATGGGCGGAGGGGAGAGAATCGCCTATTAAGTCGCTCAGCGCCTCACAGGCTTGCCCTCGTGCTGAACACAGGATTCACCTGTGGCAGGAGTGGGGGTGGGGATGGGAGTTGGGGATGGAAAGTCGGGATGGGGAATGGGGACGTGGGTAGGGAGAGTGAATAGGGGGCGCAGAAGGGAAGGGATGGGCTTGTCCTCTTGCTGAGCATGGACTTCACCTCTCCTCGTCGCACAGCATGCACACGAGGTCCTCGTCACTGCGGTCCTCCTCAGTCTTGATCTGGCCCACCTCCACCCACTGGTGCAGCACACATCGCCCCATGCAAGCAAACGCACACGCACACAATTGCCCCCACACACGCATACGCACACACACAGGCCCCACGCACTCACCTCCTCGTCGCACAGCATGCACACCAGGTCCTCGTCGTTGCGGTCCTCCTCGATCTTGATCTGGCTCGCCTCCACCCACTGGTGCGGCACATACCGCCCCGCCACTGCCACGCGCTTGCAGTCCCTGCTCGCCGCGCCCACACACTCCTCGTGCGCCGTCACCCCGCACACACAACACCGATCCACTCCCCCTCCCCCACCTCCTCCCCCTCCTCCTCCCGCTCCCCCTCCTCCCCCTCCCCCCCCTCCTTCCTCCTCACTTGGCCCGTTTCCCCCTCCATGGCTTTCAGCAGCGCCTAAGTCAACACCCATCGTCCCCCGCCCACCGCCCTTCCCCTCGCCTTCCTCTACCAGATTCCGCCACCTCCCCGACCTCCCCCCTCTCCCCCTGCCCCTCTTGCCCGCTCTCCCTCCCCGCGGCGTCGCCGCTACTCCCGCTTCCTCCGCGTCACACCTCCCGCTGCTGACTCCAAACCCCTCGAAAAAATCACCTTCCTCCTTCCTCTTCCCCCCACGCCCCTCTAACCCGCCTGCGCCTCCTCCTTTACCCGCTGCTTCCTCCCCGCCACTCCCTCCCCCTCCCCCTGCCCCCCCCCTGCCCCTGCCCCTCCCCCCCCATCCGCTCTCTCCTTGGTCTTATCTATCTCTTCCATACACACACAGCAGGTAATCGGGCCAGGAAGGTTCTTGGACGGTTCTACGAACCACGAGTGGTCGGCGAGGGGCACGTCGCCTCGTCGCATGAGCGCGTGGCGGAGGAAGCCCGCGGCTTTCAGCCGTGCGACGAACAGCTGCAGCTGCCAGTGTCGCACGGTGCGATGGACGACGAATGCGACGAGCAGCGTGAGGAGGAGGAAGGCGATAGACCAGCCAGTGAGGAGCGAGAACGGCCAGCCTGGGGGGAGCACATCGGAAAACACAAACAGCGTGCTGCAGCTGCTTACCCCAGCGCCGCCGCCACCGCCGCCGCCGCCGCCGCCGCCGCCGCCGCCGCCGCCGCCGCCGCCGCCGCCGCTGCTGCTAAGCGTTCCAAAACCGCCGCTACTTCCTGCTTCAGCGGGATCCCATCCAGAATCCCAATTGCCGCCTAATCTACCCCCGCTTCCAGCTCCATCCCCGCTATTGCCGCCTCCGCTACTGGCTCTACCAATCGCCTCACTAGTAGAGCTCAGAAATGCGGCTAAAATGCCTCCGAAGCCGCCGAATGTGAATCCCGCGCCAGTGGCGCGACAGCCGGTAGGGTACGGCGGAAGCGCCATCCCTGCCGCGCCATTTGCGGCGCCGCAGCTGCCCCTATCGGAAGGGCCGAGCCCGCTGCTGCCCGGACAGAGATCGTTGCTGCTGCTGCTGCTGCTTCGACCTGAGAAGGGATCTGGCGACGTTGTGGTGCAGAAGGGAGCAGCGGGGTGACAGCAGTGGCCATGGCGGCCCATGAAGATGTTGGCGAGGGGATCCATGGGTCATGGGGGAGCGAGGAGCGAGGAGGAAATAGTAGAGAGGGGAGAGGAGAGAGGAGAGAGGAGGAGGGGGAGCAAGTGAGGAGCTTAAGCTTCGAATCTTTGAATCGGAAGCGGGAACAAAGCAGTCGCGCGGAGAAGAAGAGGAGTCTAAGAGCGCGATAGTTCGGGTGGATCTAGGAGGCGAGTATGCCAACGCTACGAGAATAGAAGAAAGCTTAGGGTTTGGCAACCTATACGCGCGTGTGAGTCCCTGAGGGAACGACGCGGCATGTCAACTAGCAGAGCGAAGCGGCGGTTGTCGTCTGTCTCAGTGTCAATTCGAACCGCAGCTGCTGCTCGCAACCGTTCCGGTGGCCGCATGCCGTCAGCAACACGAGTACTTTTGTCACGGAAAGTGGCTAGAGCGGAGCGTTTAACGGCGCTCGAATTCGACCTAATCACAAAAAGACAGATTTAAATCTACAGGCGCAGACGGGGGTCCCCTGAGCTAAGACTAGCATATCTGCGAGAAAAAAAAACGCGTCGTGAAGAGTGGTCACAGTGTTCAGCAAGAGTGCACCACAAGGGAGGAAAGATCCAAACTTGGCTAGAAGATCAGAAATCGTCCATGGCAGAATTGAACCGATGGCAGGCACCGTAGGCTCGCCTGTTCTAAATCAAGGACTCGCCTAATAAAAGCCAAACAGCTTTCCCTTGCAGCCGTTTCTAAGCCTTGAGAGAGAACGGAGTCCGTGTGATGCGGCTCGTCTTCAATGGGAGCAAAGCAGCATGCACGCTGAAGAACCTGAGCTGCGACAAGGGTCCTGGTGCCGTGCCGAGACGGATGTCCAATGGGCGATGGTAGAACGCGTAGGTCTGCTGTGGAAGGGGTGGTGCGAAACAAAAAGCGCAAGTCTGGCTAGTGCGCGCGGTAGTGGGGTGGAGGGAGGAGCCTTGAAATTGGTTCTTTGCCTCGGTTTGTGCTCCGCACTGCAGCTGTGTGCCTTGTGGCTCGTCTCGTCATGTGGATGTGTGCTGTGCTGTCCAGGTTGGTGGGTGGGCTGGGCTGACTCTGGGAAGAAAATTCCTGTCCGGTCAGGGTGGTGAGATCATTCGCCAGTTTTCCCTCGACTTCCGCCCCATGCTGCCAGATCTCTAGGCCGCCATATACCAGAAATGTCGGACATGATTGGTAGTTCGGAAAGATTGGGGCAGGAAAATGTTGCGAGCAGCCTTCGACTGCAGCTGATGAGCGGCAGAATGTCTTCAAAAGTCCAATCTCATGCCCGACCGATGCGATTCGGTAGCCAAATTACCTGGGAAGAGAAACGCGACCATTGGTTGTTGTCCAATCTGTGAGGAGCATGCCACATCAACCTGCCCAATGTTTGGCTAGGTGGTCGCGCGCGCAGGTCTTCCCGAGCGTAACGAATTTTCCAGAAACTGCGGCTCGTTTGGTTGAGGTGGGAACCACTCCAACGTAAAACCAATGCGGTTCTGCTGTAGAAGTGATACACATAAACCAACAATCCATACTGAACTACAAAACTAATTCTACTATTTTCCCAATACCTTACCAATACCCTCCAATGTGCAACGGGGGACTAAGAATAAAAGAATTCGCCTAGGGATCAGAGCTTGTCACTGAATCCTCGTCAGTGTTTATTGCACCAGAGGTGATGGTTCTGACTAGGGTAGCTAAAATCCTCGCTTGACTGAGGTCCACAACAGCTCTAACATGGTCATACGAACATTCGCTTGGGGCCATGCTAAGTCGCATGTTTGACAGGGTGTGCTCTTATCAGGCTCAGGTAGTCTGCTCCAGAATTTCTCGAAAATGATCCAGCTTCTCATGGAAACCCATCTCCTGATGAACCTGAGGCTGCTGCTGAGGCAGCTGCTGCTGTTGAGACTGCTGCTGCTGCTTCAACTGATGCTGCTGCTGCTGCTGCTGGAACTGCGGCGCTGGCACCAGTTGCTGTTGCTGCTGCTGGTGCTCGGGGTGCTGCTGGAACGGATGCTGCGGGAGGGCTAGCTGCACGTCTACCTGCTGTGGGGGAGGAGGAAGCAGCGCAGGCAGCACCTGCTGCAGACACTGCACCTGCGACTGCTGACCAGGCAAAAGCATCTGCTGCGGAATACTCTGCTCCCACTCCAAGGCCTGTCCAAAATCCCCCTCAATCAGCACCTGCCCATGATCCATAACCAGCCCTGAAAATCCGGGAATCAGGCCCTGGCCCTCCTCCTCCTCCTCTTCCTCCTCCTCGTCCTCCTCATCCCCTTCCATATCCCCGCGGTTTCCACTGAACCCTCCCACCAAGCCGAACCCGAGCCCCTCCCCCGCCTGCCCCTCCTCCTCCACCACCCCCTGGATGCTCGCATGCGAGATATCAATCAGCCAGTTGATCACGAACGATCCTGATGTCCGCTTCGCGCGCTTGCTCTCCAGCAGCCGTTGGATCGCGAAGAAACGGTCGGCCGTCCCAGGATTCAGCCGGATCATCGGGTTCCGGCCATCCGATGCTTTCTTATGCCGGTCGCGCTTCCTGTCCTTCTTCCCGCCCTTCTCCGCCCCTTGCTGCCCTTGCCCTTGCCCCTGCCCTTGCCCTTGCTCCGCTGCAGCGCCTGGGTCAGCGGCGGGAACGATCACTCCCCCATTCCTCCCCCCGATAATAGCTTCGCTAGGGACTGCGCCATATCCAGTCGGGATCTCCAGCGGTTGTGGCGCAGGGGGAGGAAGCGACAGCGGCGAAGCAGCAGCAGCAGCAGCCGGAGCAGCACCAGCAGCAACAGGAGTCTGCAAAGAGTTTGGACAATCCATTGCGGGGTACTGGCCTGAGTGGAAAACGTCTGGCACACTCACGTCAGAAACAGTTGAAGAGCAGCTCGGTACACGCTGCCATGCGCCCTGGTCCTGTTGCTGCTGCTGCTGCGGCTGCTGCGGCTGCTGCACCTCTATCTCCTGCTGCGGATGCTGAGGCGGCGACAACTGTTCTCCCTGTTTCTCCTGTAGCTGCGCTTCAGGCACCGACAAAGGCAAGGAAACAAGGCCGCTGGCGGTGTCCCGATCCAGACTCCCTCCTGCCTGCCTGCCCTCTCCCGTTCGCTCAGAACCGAGTGCTGCTCCTGCTGCTGCTGCCACTGGAGCAGGGACCGGCGCGGACGCTAGCACGGGTGCCCTGTTTCCCCGCCCTGCAGCAACCACTAGACCACTTTCAGATACCCTGCCTGGCGCTAGCCCCGCCGCAAGCTCTGGCGCCTTCCTCGCGCCTGCTCCACCCGCAGTAACACTCGCTGTAACACTCGCTGTAACACCCGCTGAAGCGCGTTCAGGTAACCTGCTCGGTGCCACGACACCCGGTCTGCTCACACGCACAGGAGGCCTGCTGACACCCGCTGCTGCTTGATGCTGCACGGGCGGGAGTGTTATCGAGGTCGACTTTAAAGAGGTAGAAGGTGATAAGCCTGCTGCATTGGCACCTGCAAGGACGGCTACACCTGCTACTCCTGTTACTCCTGCTTCTCCTCCACCGACTCCCCCTCCAGCTGCTGCTGCTGCTGCTGCTGCTGCTGCTACAGAGCGGGGAGTGATGCCGAGAGGATAAGTGGTGGGCGCGCGATCAGGTCGTGGAGGCGGTGATTGCCCCGTGCCGTCGACGACTGTCGTTGAGATCGCCGGAAATGTTGCTGTAGCCGGCAATGCTGTAGCCGGCATTGCTGTAGCCGACACCGCTGTAGCCGGCATTGCTGTAGCCGGCATTGCTGCACCTGAGATTCCGGACGGCTGTCTCGCAATGGCTGGTTCCGCAGTCGGTGCAGCAGTAGCCGTCACTCTCCTTACAATCACAGCCCCACCTCCTTCACTTCCTCCCAGCCCTCCTGCCCCCGCACCACCACCACCACCACCACCACCGAGTTTCCCTTCTCTGAAAACAGTCCCAGAAGGTAACGCTCCATTCGCACCCTCTCTCCCTGCTTCTCTGCCGTTTCCAAATGGCTCATGCCTGCACGGGGAGCACGAGGACGCTTCGACTGGAACAACCCCGCCATTGACGCCACCATTGGGCCGTGAACTGGGATTCGACGGGGAATCGGTGCGAGACCGGGCATTGGCGGCACTCGAGGTAACGGACGCCGACGGTACGGGACCGGGAAGTGGTGAGGCGTCACGGGCACGAGCTGTGCCATTTGAGGGAGCAGCAGGGTCGTACGCGGCGACAGAAGCACGATCGCGTATCGTCGGCTGCTCTCTATCCCGCACCTCGAAAACATTCCCATTTGCTTGCGTTTGCGGTCTAGCAAGGAAGGTTCCTGCTGCTCTGCTGCTTTCTTCTACACAAGGTTCGGCCGTAGGGAGTTTCTGTCTCTGTGTCACCGCTGCAGTTTCGGCCGTTGCGGTCGGTGCCAACGCCGACGAGTGATGGCGACGTGAGGCTCCTTCTTCATAAGCTCCGTCCGCAGCAGCGGACTCGGCGGCGGCAGCGGCAACAGCAACAACGGCTGGCACGCCCGCGACATCGTCGTGGTGTCGCTCATCGTGCGGGTGATGTCGCTCATCGTGCGGCTGATATTGCTCATCGTGCGGCTGATATTGCTCATCGTGCGGCTGATATCGCTCATCGTGCGGCCATCTCTCTTCCTCGCCAAGTAAGCGGCATCCTCCATTCAGAATCTTGCCAGCGGCGGCAGCGGCGGCAGCAGCGCTAGCGGCGCCAGCGGCGCCGGCGGCGACTGGGATAGTCCTAGCAAGAGTGGCTAGAGCTTGACCGTCGCCATTGGCATCGCTCGTTCCATGGCTGAAACCATTCCCTATCTCATTTAGGCTGACTGTGACGTGATGAGCTAACCCTAATCGACATCCACCGTCGTAGTTAGCACTAGGCACGGCTGGGCTAGGTGTAGATTTGGGAGAACTAGTGAAGTCTAAATTCGAGGTCCACGTCACGACATCAGGGGAGAGGCGGTCCATGGCGGGAGAAAGGCTGGAGGGAGCCAGCAGGGCGGGTGGGGGGAGGGGAGGAGCCAGGGCGAGGGAGGGAGAGAGCAAGCTCGAGGGGGCATGCCTAGCCTGCAGTGAGAGGGAACCTAGGGTTTGGTGGAAACCACAGAAGCGTGTGGAGTGGAAACCACAGAAACGAGGTGGTGCACCATTTGATGCTGGTGGTTGACTACCTGAACGAATGGAGAAGGTTTGCAGGAACGGGGCTGTAGAGACGGAGATCGGGGAAGGCTCTGGTGGTGCACCACTCCCCTGTCATGTAACTTCTTGTGTTACAGCCGGAAATGTTTTGTTTACGTGAATAAACGTGTCGGACGAAAATATATGCTCCAGGTGTGATATTGTCGGGGGAGTGGTTGCACATGTTCAGGGGGACTGTTGAAACCTCGAGCCTGTTTCTTGGAAGGCTCTCAGGCAAGCCTTTTGGCGGTATGAATTCAGGCGGGAGATTTCGCAAGTGAACTCGAACCGCTATGTCTGGTGGCTTGTCTGTTGGACGCCACATCACTCCATCTCGCCGTCGAGCGCGGCTCGGCTCAGAAACCTCGACATTTACGCATCGCGCCGCGGTTACCAAAGGGCTTCCCGAATTTCCTAAACGGCAGGGCCAGGACCCCCTCCACCAATGACAGAGTTGAGGTGACCACACCCGCGCTTCGCAAACGAATCAAACATGGTGCTCTGGCACAGAAATCAGAGGAGCAGAACGGCCTCAAGATAATGTTTTGCCGCAGTGCCTGCCTGCCCGAGGCGGGATGAAATCAAGGAGCGGGAGGGCAAAACAACACAGGCGGGACCGAATCGAAAGGGGGCCGCGCGATTTGACCAGACCAGGCCACTGCTTCTGTGGTACAGTAACTGAATCGATAACATTTTCCATGCTGCCCCTTCTCTGGTCACCGCCGCGACCCGCCCCGAACCAAACCACTAGCGCTTTCCTCTTCCCCCTCTCTCCCTCTCTCCTCGCCTTGCCTGACCTTGCTGGTCTTTTCTTCCCTCCCTCTCTTGCGTCTGTTCCGCTCGCTCTGTTGTGCTGGGCCTTACACCCACCTGGCACACTCTCCCGTTGCCTTGTTCCTCGCTACGCCCTCTGTCGTGCAGAGCAGACCCCCTTCGTCCTTCGAGTTGAGGCCTTTGCCGTTGTCGGCGTTCTGTTCCGTCCAAGTCACGGCACGGCACGCGTGTTGACAACAAACCATCACCAGGCCTCATCTTCGCGTTTCTTTCCGCAATCATCACCTGACCCTTGTGTGTTCACGCATCACCACCAGCAGCCCTCTAACTTCGCATCAGCATCCATTATTGTTACAGGCAGAGCTCACCGGAATTAGCCTCACGATTAGGGACGAAGTGTGATAGTTAACGCATTATCCACCTATCCTTAGCACCTCTTCGTTTCTTGATCAGCTTAGTCGTCCAACCATCTCCGTCAGTCAGACAGGAAATCATTACTATTTTACATTGACGCTGGGGTTGACTAGTTCCGTTCAGACATGACACGGCACACGCATACGCCAGGCACACGAGTACGGCCACAACGAGCTTCTCTCGGCGTGGCAGTGGCTCTCGCGGCTCTCCTTGCATTATGGGCTCGATCAGCGTCCGCTTTCCTCGCACCCCAAGGTGACCACTCGCCTCAAACATGCCGCCTGTGGGAAAGGACGAGTGACGAACGCTCAGATACGAGAGCGGCTCCGTTCGCGAGGTGTCAGTTTAGCTGCAGAGGCCTGTTAATCGCTTAAGCGAAGACGGCAGTAGCTCTATGTCGTTAATTTGGTTAATTCACAGGCCCATTTTCTCCGCCCTCGAAATCCCAACTGTCTGCTGGAATTCTCCACCCTTAACACTCCCCTGCTGATGCAAGCTCCTTCCTTTCGCTTCTCTTTTCTTTCCACCAAGCTCTCTAATCGCCTACTATTTTCCTCGCGTTACTATCCCTGCTGCACCTTTCGTCCATCTGCATGCCTCTTATCGTCGAGTCTTGGCCTCCCCCCTGCGCTCGTTCCCGCCAAATCTCGCCTTGCAGATCCAATCCGAGTGGATTGCGGGAGCGTCGAGGGCAGCACGGACGCCGACGGCATCATGTGGTTACCCGACCAATACTTCGCTAACGGCACAGCCAAGTCCATCCAACCGGTGAGTGAAATATTTTATGGTCCGTCCATCCGTCCGTCCGTCTCAGCTCGCGTCGAAGAGGAGACGCTTGCCAGTCTTTGTCCTCCGCTGTTCATTCATCAATTTCGTCTCAACCGCAACTGCTGCGCCTCCCGTCCCCTCGTCCGCCGTGCCTCCTGCCCCGCACCGCTGCTACTGCGCCTCTCGTGTCGCGCAGACGTACTACGCGGGCGGGCTGCTGAAGCCCGTGGACCGCACGCTGCGGTGCTGGGAGGTGGGCGACAGCTGCTACCGTGCGTGGACCGCACGCGGGCCAGTCTTGGTCCTCCGCTGCTCATCTGCCAAACTAATCCGAGACGTTCCCCCTTCCCCGTCCGCCGTGCCCCGTGCCCCATGCCCCCTTCCCCCCGAGCAGACGTACTACGCAGGCGGGCTGCTGAAGCCCGTCGACCGCACGCTGCGGTACTGGGAGGTGGGCGACAGCTGCTACCGCGTGCCGGTCACGCCGGGCAGATACCTCGTGCGCCTCAGCTTCAGCTACAACAAGTGGGTCACGCGGGTCGAGAGATTAGAGAGTAGCCACACAGGAAAACGCGTGGCAAGCGCCCCCCTCCCCTCCCCCCCCTTCTTTCTTTTTTAATTGCCCTCTTCTTGTTACCATACCCTTCCAATGGCTCGTTACCATTCTTCCTTGTGTTTTATGCTGTCCTCCCAATGGTTCCTTACCCCCTCCCCCTCCCCCACTCCCCTTCCCCTCCTCCCCTGCCCCATCCCTCCTCTCCTCCTCTGTCTCATGGTGGTTCTCTGCAGCTTCGACAACAACTATTACAACCTGCTGCCGCTGAATCTAGACCCCAGCGTCGGTGTGAGCATTAACGACTATTTCGTGGAGGTGGTGGGGATTAAGGGGCTCAACACCACGGCCTACTACACCGACTACATCGTCTTTTCGCAGCCGGCTGCAACTACCGGGGATGGAGCTAATAACGGGCACGGAAACGCCTCCCAGCAGCAGCACGAAATCAGCGTATGCTTCCTCCCGTTTCAAGGCAACCCGTTCGTGAACTCGTTACAAGTCCTCCCCATGGACACTGACGCGTACTTCGCCTCCACCACCGGTGCCAACGTGGTGCTCTCCAATTGGGTGCGCATCAACGCCGGAGGCGCCGCCATCGGCCCAGAGCCCAGCGGCTCGGACCCGGGCCACCGCACGTGGGACGCTGACGTGGGGACGTCCAAGTCGGACCCGTGGGTGCAGATGGTGGCGGCCACGTCAGCAGCGGCAGTGACGGTCCCCGCCAGCTGGGAGTCTTTCAGCCTCCCGAGCGACTTATTCACCACAGCGCGAGTTGCGGGCGGGAAGTCCAAGACGACGGGGTATAACTTCACAGGTCTTTTCCCCGTGGATCAAGATAACGAGTTCATGGTGCTTCTGTATTTCGCGGAGATTGAAGCCGGCGTGGGCGTGGGCGAGCGCGTGATGGACGTGTGGGTGAACGGCAAGTGGACGACCATCGATATTGCCGAGCGCGCGGGGGGAGCGAACACCGCGCTCGTGTATTCCCTCAACCGCGTGAAGCTCGGCGGAGTGCCCAACTCCCCCGACGGCCAGTGGCTCGCGGTCCTGCTCCGCCCCGCGGGCGGAGACCTCCGCCTGCGCGCGCCCATGATCAGCGGAGTCGAGGTGTACGAGGTGATTTACGGCGGCGACGGCGGCGCGACGACCGGCGGAAGCGATGGCGCCGGCGCGGGCGTCGGCGGCGGGGATACTCAGATTAGAATCGACTGCGGTGGGCAGTATAACTACACGGACTCGATGGGATTCGCGTGGTCCGCGGATTACGGGTATTCCAGCGGCGCGCCGGCGATCGTCGTAGAGCCGGGGAACGATTTCGAGTTCTCCAAGTCGCTGCGGTACTTCCCATCGGCGCGCATCAACTGCTACGACGTGCCGGTGCCCAAGGGGCGGTACTTATTCCGCATGTTCTTTAACTACGGGAACTACGACCAGCTGAGCGAGACGCCGACGTTCGGGTTCGGAGTCGAGGGCGCGCCGATGGTCGCGCTACAGCCGGACGCGCCCGGCGGGTTCCAGGAGGCTGTGGCGTTCGTGGAGGACGGCGAGGCGAGCGTGTGCCTTTTCGGGCACAGGGAGGGCGGCGCGAACAGCAACGGGGTGATGCTGCCGTCGGTGATTAACTCTATCGAGATCCTCCAGGTGAACAATAACGCGTATGAATCGGCGCGGTACGGAAGGGATCTGGTGCTGTATGATTATTACCGGGTGAACGCGGGCGGGCAGGCGTTTGGGGAGGGGCTGACGGCGGGGAAGGAGCTGGGGCACCGGCAGTGGGGAGATGAAACGACGTCCGGTGTAACGCTGAGATGTAACCCCGCGTGCGACAACGAGTTTCTGCCGCAGAACGTGGCGTCGGTCAAGGGCGTCGACGCGCAGCCTGACGCTATCCCGCTGGAGCTCGTCAAAACGGCGCGCACGGCGCGCACGCGCGCGGGAGCCGCCGCCGGGGCCGTCGCCGCGAAAGCCGGCGACGCGGACGGGTCGGTGGTGGCGTATAACCTCACGGGATTCATGCCGGGAGAAGGCCTCGCGATCTTCCTGCGATTCGCGGAGCTGCGCTCCGGCGTGAAAGCCGGCGAGCGCGTGTTCTCCGTCTACTTAAACGGCGAGGCGGTTCCGGCCGGCAAGGGGATCGACCTGGCCGGGAAAGTGGGGCCGTTTGCGCTGTTTTCGCTGAACTTGCCGTACCAGCTAGCCCCGGAGGGGTCGTGGGTGTCTCTGGAGCTGCGCGCCGATAAGGGGTCGGCGCTCGCGCCGATCGTGAGCGGCGTGGAGGTGTATGGGCTCATGGAGCGAGGACCGGCCGTCAGCGCCGACACTCGTAAGTGACGCCACAAGCTTTTTCTTCTCTCTGCTCTCTCCTCCTCATCCACTAGCCACCCCTTCCCCCACTCACCCCTGCGCTCTATACCCTCGTGTCCCTCCTACCCCCCTCCTGTCTCCCCGCCTATACCTCCCCTCCGTCCATCCCCCCCCAGTGGCCGCTATGGCTGAGGTTAAGCGCGCGCTGCAGGTGCCCGAGTCG